GTCTGGCAGAAGATATAGAACAATTAAGACTCAGACCACACATTTTCTGAATAGTTTTTATCCCGGAGTTGTAATTGCACTTAATAATGAGCTTAAAGACCACCAGTTAGTTAGTTGCACGGTGTTACTTGGCCTGCGGTGTAGATGTTTGTATTTTTAGTCGGGACTTTTAGTGGGTGGGGAGTGTTGGGGGATTTTTTTTAGTGGGTGGGGAGTGTTTGGGGAATTTTATGTGTGTGCATGTGTCTGGTCTCTGGATGTTTGTGAATTTCATTGTATGGGTATACAGTACTGTGTATATACTTACAATGACAATAAATAAATAACTAAATAACTAAATAACTAAATAACTAAATAACTAAATAACTAAATAACTAAATAACTAAATAACTAAATAACTAAATAACTAAATAACTAAATAACTAAATAACTAAATAACTAAATAACTAAATAACTAAATAACTAAATAACTAAATAACTAAATAACTAAATAACTAAATAACTAAATATGACAATAAATAAATAACTAAATAACTAAATAACTAAATAACTAACTAACTAACTAACTAAATAAATAAATAAATAAATAAATAAATAGGATGAGTTTGGTAACTCCAGCCAGCAAGCATGACAGCTGAACGTTGCCTCTTTCCAGCTCTTTAAGACCACCTGAAGCCCCAAACTTTCACAATAATGGCATGCCACAATTCATTCTGCTACCTGGTGGAAAATACTGGTTCTGTTATGAGCGACCTGAGAAAGCAGGAAGAAATTTACTGGTAAATAGGGATGTAAACCTTAAATCATCATTTGCCTCATTTTTGCAAATAAGGAAGATTAGCTGCAACATTCTTCTCTTTTCCAGCATAGTAGGCAAGGAATTTCCTGGGAATTCTACTATAGTTCTTATAATGGGAAGAATGATACCTTGTGAAAAAATGCCCGCTGATGCCTTTTCCTTTCCTGAAGTGGTTTTTCATATGCAAAATTATGCAGTTTGTGAACCAAATCAGACTTATTGGTACTTTATTTAAGACTCTGGGGCACTAGATCAGTTGTTGGCATGTTGCTTAACAATCAGACAGGTCTGTGTTCCTGTGCATTGCTTCTCAAATTGAAAGGACAGTAAAGGAGTGCCATGCCAAAAAACAAAACAAAACAAATTGTAATATTGGTAGTAGCAGCAGCAGTAGTAGCAGTAGCAGTAGTAGTAGTAGAATTCCTACTACTACTACTAGTAATAATAATAGTAATCGTAATCATATAAACAGTTGCAGATCTCAGAAATAATACAATTAGAGCTTTAAAAACCAGCAATATTACGAACAGCATACATACTGCACTGATATTTAATGGAGAGGTTTTTGGTTAAAACTTGCATATGCTATATAATACCAGTGAATGTTTTCATAATTTTGATAGACAGTGCCTGGTGTTTAATTATAATAACAGACACCTTGAACATAACATGAGAGACATAGTAGTAATAGAACAAAGATATATCTGGATCATTTACATTGCAATTCCAGGGGATTAAAAGTAAAAAAAAATGGAAAAAACTAACAAAATACAGAGATCTGGCAATCAAAACATCTTGCTTGTCAGTGAAATACACTTCAGAGGACCCCGTCTCTCCATTGGGAACAATATCAAGATATTTCACATAATATTATAAGTATATTATAATATATTATTATACTAGTCAATGCTTTTATAACTCTAAATGACTGTGTATGGTATTTTTAATCATCTCCATCTTAGAATACAAAGCTGGACGGGACTCTGTGGATCACCAAATCCAGCCCCTGTCAGGGAGGCACAGAGGGGAACTGACCCGCCAAGGCCTAAGCCGCTGAGCTATCAAGCAGTTGCAGTAGGCTGAGAGTTTCTGACTCTTGGCTGCCTCACAACAGAGCAATTATTTGTGTCTTTTTCTGGTTCTGCCTGTTAAAATCCTTGACTTGTACGAAGGCAGATTTAGATTGGTACAGTGGTGCCTCGCATAGCGAGGTTAATCCGTTCCGGATTAACCTTTGCTATAGCGAAACATCGCTGAACGAGACAGGGAAAGCCATTGGAACTCATTAAACATCGTTTAATGCGTTCCAAAAGGCTCCTTTACTCACCGTTTAGCGAAATTTCCTATGGTCAGCAGCCATTTTCATGCCCTCGTTAAGCGAGGGGAGGGCATGAAAACGCTGCGCGCGGCCATTTTGGGGCTTCCGGCGGCCATTTTGTCCGCCGAACAGCTGATCGTCGGAGCTTCGTTTTGCGAAGATCGGTAAGCGAAATGCTTACCGATCTTTGCAAAGCGAATTTCGCCCTATCTAAAGCATGTTGAGCGATCACATTAGCGATCCCAAAAAAGGGATCACTATGCGATTTCGTCATTGTACGGTGAGCTCATTAAGCGAGGCACCAGTGTATATCCTAATATATATAGCTCATAGAGTGCAGGCAATAATCTGGGGTCCTGGTTAATTATCATCATCATCCCATATTCATTTTGACAAATAATACTTGCTAAACCTCTTGTGCCCATATCCTTTGTATTGACTCACTTAAAGTACTTTCAAGTTTTCTGAGAAGACTCTTCTTTGCAGAGGTCATGCAGGCTCACCTTAAGCAAGATTCATCCTTCTACATGGTTGATGACTTCACCTTTAATAATAGTTCCTACCCATTTCACGGAAATAGGGATTCAGCCTTATTGACCATTTCCTTTCCCCCGTCCTAATTATTTCCAAAATTGAGTTACACTGGTGCACTAGGTGGCAGACCTTTAGATCTTCTGTTACACAGGTCACTTTTAGGGGTATACTGCATGTATCTGCTACAACATAGCAACATGTTCACAATTGAGGTCTTTCACTCTTTATTAACTTTCAAATGGACAATACCTAGTTATGATGTGTTTGTTTTCGGTTTGTCAAAAAAGTTTAAGTAGAACATCATCTTTTATCAATGCTGCTGTTCTCACTTCCTCATACTTCTCAGTTCAGATAATGTCCTTTCCATCAAATGCAAAGTAGTAATTCAACTTGTCTGCAATCTCTATTTTCCTTTAGTACACACTTTAGTACCTAACTAGTTGCTTCCTTCTGATATATCTTTTTTTTAACTGATTGATCTTAATGTTAATGCTAATCCTCCAAATCTTGTTTTGCCTCCATTATTGCCTGCTTGTCTGCATTTCTTTTGTACAAGCTTTTGTTGGTTTAGCTCTCTTCATTTGAGCAACACTTTCATTTTCTGCAGGGAAGCTTATTTGTTTAATTATTTAGCTTGTATTCTTCCCATAGTGCTCAGAACTTTGGGGGCAGATTACAATGGAGAATTCAATCAAATAAACACAATATACAGTGGTGCCTCGCATAGCGATTGCTTCGTATAACGATGAAACCGCTTTGCGATCGCTTTGCGATGGTCCTTATGGGGGAATTTTGCTTTGCGATGATCAGTTCCCTGCTTGGGGAACTGATCATGGCAAAGCAATGCTTTTTAAACAGCTGATTGGCTGATTGGCGCTGCACGCTACCCCCCCAGAGCTCCTGCATAAATAAGAGATGGTGGGAGGGGGAGAGTGGGGGTGCTCCGGATTGGCGCCTCGGGAGGAGGGAGGGAAGAAGGGGCAAAGGGCCTGGCCCCAATCCCCGCGCGCACCCCTGGGGCACCAAGCCAGAGAACAGTCACAGCAGGAGGTGCTGCAAAGGAGGAGGCACCCGCCTGGGACCAGGATCAGGGTGGCAGTGGCATGCCAGAGACCCCCTCCTCACCCCGTCTGTGCCCCATCTGCGGATTGGCGCCTCGGGAGGAGGGAGGGAAGAAGGGGCAAAGGGCCTGGCCCCAATCCCCGCGCGCACCCCTGGGGCACCAAGCCAGAGAACAGTCACAGCAGGAGGTGCTGCAAAGGAGGAGGCACCCGCCTGGGACCAGGATCAGGGTGGCAGTGGCATGCCAGAGACCCCCTCCTCACCCCGTCTGTGCCCCATTTGTGCTGTTTTCTGGGACGGATTCCTCGCTTAACAGGCAGCGAAAATGGCCACACTATGGAGGATCTTCACTGAACGGTGAGTTTGAAGCCCATAGGAACGCATTAATTGCATTTTAATGCGTTTCTATGGGCTTTTTATTTTCGCATTGTGACATTTTCATTTAGCAGCAGTTTCGCTGGAACGAATTAACGTTGCAATGCGAGGCACCACTGTACTATAAATGTACAATTTATAAAAACAATAATTAATCTCATGCCACAATCTATAAGGATCGGTGGCAATGATCAGAGGCTGCAGCTGGAACCAAGGAATGTTTATCTCCTGTCATCTCAACATTCCTTCCAATATATCAAAGAAAGAAAGAAAGAAAGAAAGAAAGAAAGAAAGAAAGAAAGAAAGAAAGAAAGAAAGAATTCTGATTTGAGACTGAGATGAAGCAGAACACAGTTATGGACTGCTCAATGGAGACAGATGAAGTGCTGAGAGAGTGAGGTTTTGTTAGCAGAGGAAGGACTGCTTAAGACTGACCACTTACATGGGGACAACGGGCAATAGCTACCTACCCTGTGTGTCCCTTAACTTTTCCAGGAGACATTGCGCTTCCTCCTGGATCCTTTCTTCGTTGCTTTTCTTTCCCATTCCAAAATCGCGCAAGGTGGTGAGGGCAAAACGTCGAAGTTTCTTCCATCTCTCCCCATTACTGAGTATAATTCCTGGAAATGGAAAGATACACACAGTACAATCAAAGGGAATATTATGGTGAGAAACACTACAAGCTGATCAACATGGACACACACATTTATATATGGTATATAGCCATTAATGTTTCACCCCATAATCAGATCTGAAAGCATATTGAAATGGGCCCAGAAAAATAGGTCTATCTGAAAGAGATTGGTACAGGACAGCCATTGCTCATCCAGTCACCTTCTCAGGAAAGTATAGTCTGAAGAACATTTATATATATCTGAAGGATCCAGTTTTGAGGGGAGAGGGAAGGGGAAAATACTTTCTTAAAATGGCATATTACAGGCTGAAGCCCTCTCTATAAGTTACACCATGTAAGTTTGATGACATCTTTAATCATGGTGATTTTTGGTAAATCAAACTTGATGTCATCCTTCAGGCAGCATTTTTGGTGATTAAAAACATTTCTACAGGCCTACTGCTCTAAAAGGCTTCTCAACAACGAAAGGAATTCTATAGGAATTCAGACTTTTGGGGAGGAAATGTTTCATTTCGGAAAAATCATTGCAGCTGATGACATTGTCAACCTTACATACTGAGTTAACTTCCAGAACAAGATTTCCATCAAAAAGTTATTAAGTTTCCCTGAACACTGTTCTGTTCTACAAAAGTGTCTGCGTGAATTTTTCCAGAGAGACGGTAAAGCTGCATAGTGGTAGGTTAGCATAATTGGAATTCATATTTCACCCTTCTACAACATGGTGTGCCTGCATATATTTAAATAATGAGCCTGTTTAAGATTGAGTTGAAGACACCCCTTAGAAACATACATGCTCCTACAGCCAATTTATCTCATGGCTCTCATTTTGACTAGCAACTTCACTTTGCCCTCCACCCACTCCCATCCATGAAAAAAAAACATAAAATACCTTGTCCCTTCTTGACTTTGTCAAATATTGGCAAGTTTCCCCTCCAAACAAATTCATCTCCATGATCAACCAGTGCTTCTTTTATTGTATCATAGCCAAACATTGCCACAACACGTTCTGCTCCAAAATGCAATGTGACCACAGGGCCATACTTCTCACTAAGCTAAAGAAAGAAAGAACGAACGAACGAACGAACGAACGAAAGAACGAAAGAAAGAAGGAAAGAAGGAAGGAAGGAAGGAAGGAAGGAAGGAAGGAAAGGAAGGAAAGAAAGGAAAGAAAGAAAGAAAGAAAGAAAGAAAGAAAGAAAGAAAGAAAGAAAATATCAAGTTGGTCACTTACACATAACAGTTAGTGAAGAAATTTTCATTACACAAAGAACATGGAGTTGCATTTACTAATTTGTATGTACATACTTTCAAATCTAGAATGGGCTCTCTCAGACTGTGGTGGATTCTCCTTCACCAGTCTTTTGAAATAAAAGTTAGACAGTTACCTGTCAGGAATGCTTTAGCTGTGAATTTCCTGCTCCAGCAGGGGTTGAATTAGATGAATTTTAGGACCATTACTAGCACTACAATTCTGTGATTCTGTGAGTTACAATAATTTGAAAGGAAATGAAATACCAGGTAAGGAAATTGTAAAACAGCAGCCATACAGGACTTGATCCTAGATAAGCATGATAACTTGGGTCTGCACAGAGTTGCCCACTGGAGCTATTCTACGTTCCATCCAGTTTCAGGCCTGTTTATGGGTGGAGACTGCTTTGGTCATCTTGATGGATTATGTACGCTGGGAACTGGACAGGGAAGTGTCCTTGTTGGTTCTACTGAACCTCAATGCCATTGACCACGATATCCTTCTGGGTTGCCTCTCTAGGACTGCTAATATATGAGGTGATAGGGCATGTCTTCATTACACAACCACAATACACCCATACACTTTGTCAATCAGCCACACTTGTCAGACTATGTAAATATCGATAGGATTCTGGCTGTTGTTGTTGCTATTCTTGTTTTTATTGCCAATACTGTTCTGTAGGGGATGATATGCTTTTCTTTGAGCAAGCTTAGTGAAAACATGTTTTGCCTGAATAACATAGGAGGGCAAGGCTAGTGACAGTTCTTAAAGTGGTCAGTGGTTTAAACCACTGGTTCTTAACCTTGAGTTACTTAGGAGTTTTGGACTGCAACTCCCAGAAGCCTTCACCACCAGCTGTCCTGACTGGGGTTTCTGGGAGTTGCAGTTCAAAAGCATCCGAGTAACAAAGGTTAAGAACCACTGGTTTAAACCACTGGTTCTTAACTTTTGTTACTCAAATGTTTTTGGACTGCAACTCCCAGAAGCTTTCACCATCAGCTCTGCTGGCTGAGGTTTCTGGGAGTTGCAGTTCAAAAACACCTGAGTAACAAAGGTTAAGAACCACTGCTTTAAACTGTGGAACCAGTAGTTGGGAGTTCAATTACCCACTGTGCCTCCTTAACAGAGCAGGGCATGATGATCAATAGAGTTCCTATTATAAACTTATAAAAACATTGCCTGGTATTATATAACAGATACACGTTTTAACCAAAAACCTAAGTATCTGCTAAATATTGGTGCAGTACTATATGTATGCTGTTCCTAGTATTGCTGTTTTTTTGTAGCTCTGATGGTGTGATTTCTGAGATCTGCAACTGTTTACAGTACTGTGTGAAATTTCTTGATATTGTTCACAAAGCCCAATAACTATGGGGACCACTGAAGTCTGTTTCTTCCAGAGGCGAGATGTTTCAATGGCCAGGTCTCTGTACTTTGTTAGATTTTCCAATTCTTTATTTTCAATTCTGGCATCCCTGGAATTGCAATGTCAGTGCTCCAGACATTTCTTTGTTCTATTACTACTATGTCTGGTGTGATATGTTCAAGGTGTCCATCAGCTTAGATCTGGAAATCCCACAGGATCTTGACTTCCTCATTTTCTGACACCTTCTCTACCTGATGTTCCCACAGGTTTTTGGAGGCTGGCAAGTTATATTTTTTGCATAATGACCAGTGCACTAACTTTGCCACTCTATCATGCCTAACGTTGTAATCTGATTATGTAATCTTTGGAAATTCACAGATGAAATGTGATACAGTTTCATCTTTTTCTTGGCAGAGTTGAAGTTTGCTGTTAGCACTCATTCTTTGGATCTTAGCTGTCATCACGTTGGTTTGGAGTGCTTGTTCTTGTGCAGCAAAAATCAAGCCTTTGCTTTCTTTCTTAAAATTTCTTATTATTATTTGGTTTCTTCTTCTTCAACACCAGACACAGTCAACAGAATTATAAAAACATTGACTGATATTATATCACTGATACAAGTTTTAACCAAAACCTTAAGTATCTGTCAAATATCAGCACAGTGTGTATGCTGTTCCTAATATTGCTAGTTGTTGTAGCTCTGATGGTGTTATTTCTGAGATCTGCAACTGCTTATTATACTGTGTGAAATTTCTTGATATTGGTCCCAAATTCCCAATGACTACAGGGACCACTGAAGTGGGTTTCATCCATAAGTGAATTGTTTTGATTGCCAGATCTCTGTACTTTGTTAGATTTTCTAGTTCTTTATTTTCAGTTCTGACATTCCCTGGGATTACAGTGTCAATGATCCAGATATTTCTTCAATCTATTACTACTAATCCGGTGTGTTATGTACAAGGTGTCTATAAATTTGTATCTGAAAATCCCATAAGATCTTGACTTCCTCGTTTTCTGACACCTTCTCTATCTGATGCTCTCAAGACTGGCAAGTTATTATTATTATTATTTTGAATAATCACCAGTGTACTAATTTTGCCACTCGATCATGTCTAATTTTGTAATTTGTTTGTGCAGTCATTGGACATTCACAGATGAACTCCTGGCAGAGTTGACATTTGCTGTTTACACTAATTCCTTGAACCTTAGCTTTCTTCTTGTTGTTGTTGTTAAGACAGTTGGAAATGAGTGAAGGCAAGCATTTATGGATTGAAAGGGAGAACAGGAGCAGCAATGTTAACTCTGCTTTCATCCCCTTGAGGAAAGTCCAGAATAGTATGGTTTGAAAACTACCACCTGAAAATTAGAAATGTTATGTGGCTGAATTATCGTGCAACAAGTATATCACATTTCAGAGGGTTTTTAATGCTGTGTTCTTGTTGTTTTAAACAGTTTTATGAGAAGAAAAATAATCAACAAAAGAGAATTTATAAGATACAGGAATGTCCATGTTCAGTTGGAACCTATCACACATACTTGTCTACACAAACTGAATTGTGCTGATCATGATAGTTCACTATCTAGATATGGTGACTTCTAGCTAAAGAGGGGTGGGTACCTCAGGGCATGTATGACATTCTCTTTTCCCATCATTACAGATCTTCTGTGCCATCAACTAACTAAAATAAATACAGATTCTCTACATGCTATTCACACACAAAATCTCTTTCTAAAACAATGAGATCCACCTTTCATTCAGTAGTGAATTATAGACTGCCCTGAGCCATAGATATGACATTTCTTAATTTCCAGGACTACAAATCTATATGTTCTTTAATTCAGAATACCGTAGAATTACAATTTGACATCTTACCACTATAGTTTCTCAGAATTTTGTAGCATATGTGAACGCAGAATTTTCTTCTGTAACATGTTTTATCAAAAAGGATTTTTGTTTTATGAATAGTACCTGGTGTATTATCACAAAGATCTTCTGAGGACAGAATTTAATATTCAGCCTACCTCACAGAGAGCCTTGTCCAAGTTGTTGATCTTCAACTGTAGAATATTCCCTATGATGGGCAGAGGTGTTGGGCCAGGTGGTAGCTTCCCATACCTTGCGTTCTTGCTCTTGAAAGCAAGCAGAAGAAGACATGAGATACAGATAATCAGAAAAATTGTGATGCTCCCCAGAGGCTCCATAGTATTAGCTTATAATGAGTAAAATGGCTCTGAAATCTAGTTTGGTGAAATCAGTGTTTGCTCTTTGACTTGATCCTTATAAAGAATGTGAAAGCTAGGCGTGGGGTGAAGTTTGCCAATAGGCATTTCAAATTAACCTTTGTATATAAGATTAACTTTTACATAACTGGACTTGTTTACCTCCTTTTGGCAACAGCCATAACTAAGTCCCTGAGTGTCCTTGGCAATTATAAGCCAGAGTGTATCCCCTTTGTACATAAGGTGATGATTGGTTGGTTTCTATTGACACACCTTGTCATGCATGTTTGAGGTGGCAAAATGCCTAGAACTAGGAGCAGCTTGTTCAATTTCTAAGCAATGGGAGTTTCAGGCAACAGATCCACATTTTCGATGTGACATAAAAACAAAGAAGATTGTGGATCTTAAAATACTTAACCTATTTTATAATAAAAGCCTTTTGTGGACTACAGTCATTGCATTAGATGTTTGAGATATTTTTTCAATTGACAATTACCCCATGCTTGGGTGAATGAGGGACTGCTGCCCATGTAATCAGGGGGAATTTACACTTCAGCTTCCTCTGAGAACCCTAGTTAGACTCTCCCACCCACTCCAGCATGGGCATAATAATTTGAACTAACACTTGATGGATTGCAGCTGTAAATAATATGTCAGGCCAGAGATTCTGATGCCTGAAAATACCCCTACAGAGATTTCTGTAGAGATTCCTATAGATCTCTAGGAGAAAATCAGAAACCTGTGTTCATCACAGATGGCATTTTCCCCAGTTAAGGGTTAACTCCAGAATGAAACCAAACAATCATTGACACTTATTAAAAAATTCATCTCAGTATCAAGGTATATGCACGCTGTAATATAAAGAGCTCATTATAACATAAACACATTTTGCTGTCATGAATGTTGTTATTCAGGGACCTTGGTGGTTGGAGAACTGGCTAATTGTTTTGGACCAAATATAGTAAACTATTATTCATGCCTCCCTTTTAAACACAATCTCATTTTCAAGGCTACTGTTTTCCATACCCACCTCAATTATTTTATCACTCTAAACACAAATTTTCTAACCTTGACAAATATCTCTGCTGTTGAATCCAACTTATGGTGACCCTTTCCAGTGTTTTGTAGATATTGAATAATCAGAAATAATTTTTCACTCTTCAGACTGTGAAGCTTTCCCAAGGCTACAGAGACTAGCTCTTCTTCCAGGTGACACAGTGTGGATTCAAAAGCCTGCCTCCAGCAAAGAGAGCCAACTCAACAGTAGTCCACAAATGCTTGCAATATGATAATATTTGTTAGATTCTAAGGTGCCACAGTGTCTATGCATGTCTGTGCACACCTTGGTCTTTTCTTTACATCCTGTTGCTGATCAAGTCTGACAGCCAAACTGTAATGATCACATGGACAGCAAAACTTAACGAATGTATAAACTGTATATAGAATCAATGTCAAAGCTGTTTGCTTTCAGGCACTCAAGCTGCCAACTGTGAATTCTTCACCCTGCTAGTAAAAAGAGCACAAAGAAGCATTTTTTCAAACTCTTGAGAACTGAAGTGGGCCTCTCCTGCCCCTTCTCCTCCCTTCATCGGCTGTAGTCAGCTTTGTTTCTGGAAATATCTGAGAGGAGGAAGAAACTATGAAACCTTGCTGCTTGTACCTTTGCCTTCTGCTGCCTGCACAAGGATACGGTGAACATGCTTGCCTCTGCAATTGTGATCTCAGAGCTCCTTTGCTGTTGTGCTTCAAAGCCCTTGTGGAAAGGACAAAGGATGAGCTGCTTTTGCACATGGAGTAGTCAGTAAAGAGGAGAGTCACAAGGAATGGATTTTAACAGGACCACATGTAGTTAAACACATCTAAGCCAGACAATAAGCCTCTAAAACACCTGCTGGGCAAAGCCGTTCTAGCTTGCTTCAGAAGCAACATTAGGTCACTGTATACTTACTCAACACCTCCACCCAATGAATCACAATTCTGAAAAGGGTCCCAAAAGTGGTCTCTATCATACCACCTGGTCCATGAGTCATGAGCACGAGCCTTGGAAAGCACCAGTTACTGTACAAATGTTTATGGGTGCTTACTAGGATGTGAACACTATTTTCTCTCTCTCTTCCCCCATCCTCTCACCATAAGACCTTTCAGTAAGGGATGTGCGAAAACAATGTTTCTCATGGAAACTTGTGCAGATTTTCTTATGTCCTGTGCAACATTTCGGCTGAAATCCAAAAGTAGGGTCACAACTAGAGTGGGCCTGTTGAGTCAGTGAGAATTTGCTCAGTCAACTCTTCCATAATTTCCAATGATTCAAAAGGTCTAATCTAGTTATGATTTACTACTGGATTTCAGCCATTGTTTAAAAAGCAAAAAATGCACCCATTTCCTATGCAAGTACAATCAGGTGCAAAATGTGTTCTCCAGAACTGATAGGGAAAGCCAGGCAGGCTTCCATCAACAGGCAAGAAAGGCAATGGTACTGGCTTGCAGCTTCTTTTAAAAAAAGATCCTTTGCTACTCTTTCAGCTGCTTTCTGTCTACCTTGGGCCACCTTTAAGTTTTTCCCGGCTATCTCTAGGGATCTTTTTAAGGTGTTCATTAAATTATCCATGTATTCTACAATCAACTCAGAGTCCCTTTCTATATAATCTTCCCAATTCTGTTGTAACAAATCTAAAGGCCCTCTTACTTTATGACCAAACAAATGTTTAAAAGGACTAAAGCCTGTGCTTTCTTGAGAAATATCTCAGTAAGCATATAGCAGTGGTTGTAATTTATTATCCCAATCATTTGGGTTCACTGCCACATGTGCACATATCATTCTCATTAAAGTTCCATTAAAATTTTCCACTAACTCATTTGTTTGGGTGTGGTAAGGAGACAACATCACATGGGAAATTCCAGTCCTGCCACAGTCTCTTCATTAATTTGGAAGCAAAGGAAATTCCTAAATCTGTTACTATTTCTGATGCAAAACCCATTTGAGACATATAAATAATTAAGGCATCTGCCACAGTTTCCATCTCTATGTTTCTTAGGGGTACTGCTTCTAGGTATCTGGTGGCAAAATCAATAAAGGATAAAATATATTCATATCCTTGTCTAGTTTCCCTGGGTAGGAGTCCCACCAGGTACATACCTAAATGTTGGAAAGGGGTCAGTATAACAGGCAATGGGCATAACTTAGCCCTAGTCTTGTCATTTCCAGTACCGCACTTCTGGCAAGCATCACAGGTTTAGCAATATTGCTTAATTTGCTGTCCCATCTCTGGCCAATAAAAATTCTGCGTGGCCCTTTGCTTAGTATGAGAGACCCCCATGTGTGCTCCAAATACATCTTTGTGTTGTTTTTCCAGAACCTTTTCTTGGTATTTAAAAGGGACAATTAGTTGTTTGTAGGGCTCTTCACCCCTACAAGGTGCCATAACCCCCCATACAATAGGCCTTGGTCCACACAATACCTCTCTTGTGTGTTCAGAGGGCAGTGGAATGGGATTCTCCATGAGTTTTTCAAAGCAATAATTTAAGGTGCTATCTGTTCCTTAGTAAAGGAGGAACTATTAGGAATTTTCATCAGCACCAAATCAGCAGTCTCACTTATTTCAATACGTTCCCCTAAACAGGGCCTTTCAATGAGAGTTTCAGTGGCTGGGATTCCCATGCTTTCCTCAGTGGCTACAATCTGCCTCCCCTGAGAGCAGGTTACCAAGCGAACACTCTGCACATGTTTTGAGAGATCCAAACCAATCAGACAAGGGGCTGGGATTTGATCTGACACAGCTACTTTCCATATACCAGACCACCCATGGTAATTCAATGTTATTCTAGCCATTGGGAATACTACAGGATCGGAACTTATATCTTTGAGGGTGATTTCGTGTTCCAACATGTTTTCTTTAGAACTTATGTCTTGGTGACAAATAGTTATTTGAGAGCATGAGTCTCTAATTCCTATTTTTTTTTTTACCATCAATTAAAATTATTTCTCCACAGCTTTCCAGTAAAGCTTGATCACACTTGATTAAACAACACTGTATCACTCTGCTCTTAGGAAGCTCTGGGCTCTCCGCCAATTCCGTTTCCTTACCTACACTGCAGCCATTAGAGTCCTCAGCTGTTGATGGCTGAAGGCAAAATACTTTTTTAGGCTGACTGAAATTTATATTCTTCTAAGTTTCAAATTGGGCCCAAAATGTTCTTCTTTATCACAAGCATAGCGTTGCTTATTTGCCTTACATTTAGAGTGAAGGGATTTATTAACTTTTCCCTCATAGTTATTTGATCTCAGTTGACTTTGCTCTGAGAATGAAGGTCTTGCTTTAAAATGGTTTTCTCTCACTTGAGTATGACTGAGGTAATTCCTACTGGAAGGGGAGACTGTCCTCCTGTTGTCCCAAACTTTTCTATCAAGTTTTACCTCAGAGAATCGAAAATCTCTGATCCCACTAATAAAATCAGCATATTCAGATGCCTGTTGCACATTATTAGGACCCTTGTCCTTGACAAGATAGCACAACTCCCTTAGTAAAATTGAATAAAATTGTTCTAATCTAAACACATTTGGTCTAAGGAGGTGACATGTTCTTGTCATAGCCACGTATTAAGATACTGAGTTAACCTTGCCCCAAGTTGAGCAAGACTCCTCAGGTTTCTTTGAAATTGATCTACATTTTCTCCTGAGATGCTTTGAATTAATCCCAAATCAGGAATATACCATCTTTCTGTAATCTTCAAAATCGCTAGCTTGTTCAAGAGGCATCTGAGAATAGATCTCAAATAAAACTCCCCCTATCTGTGACCTTAAAATTATCATCCTCTCATCATCTTTAACCCCAAAGTCCCAACAAGCTCTCTCAAAGGAAATCAGGAAAGATTGGGGAAATTTCTTTTATTATTATTATTATTATTATTATTATTATTATTATTATTATTATTATTATTATTATTATTATTATTAGGCTGCGCTGCTACTGTATTTCCAGTTTTTTCATCTCAATTTGAAACTGCATTTCTCTCTGCCTGTTTTCTTGCTCAAATTCCCTTTGCCTTTCAAGATCTCTGACTTTTTTCTTTTCTTGCTCAAATTCCCTTTGCCTTTCAAGATCTCT